CACAAGCAGGCAAGCCGATAGTCTGGCGCCTACCTAAGCATGTTAGTGATCCAAGAGCGCAGCTAAAAGTCCGTAAGAACTTGTGCCAGCTCACAAAAAACACTTTCATCTCAGGTGAACGATCAAGAGACCCAGGGCTTGCTTGCCCTAACCGTGATTCATCAGACTGCTACTATTACCTCGCAAAATTCTTGTTTCAAAACGCAGTCACATTCTCTATGACCAGCTAATGGTCGTTAAAATTGATACTTACATTTTCAAAGATTTTCGCTTTGAAAACAACCGGAAGCGCTATCCCTCAAGATTGAGAACGAGTATCGCCGCTCTGCGTCTTTTCGCGATCTAACGACAGTAATCCTCCGTCTACACGTCATTCAATCCAAAGAGCTTGTTTCAAGTAATCAGTACGCACATAAGCGCATAGTTCATTCAATATTGTGATCAAACAAAAACACGATTTCGGATATAAATCTACATGAGGTACACATCCAGAAGATGTGCATAAATGAAACACGTTCAACAACGTCATATAAATACTGCACAAGAAAAAAAGCATCGGTTCTCACAATTAGGGGAACGACAACACAACAACCACATATAAAATTGTTCGTCCAACGCAACTAGGTCGTATTCACGACCTGTCAAGTACCTATTTTGCACACATAGAACAAAAACAGTGCATAGAAAGTGGTTAGCAGAGTGGAACTTATAATAAAAATCAAGGAAAAGGTAGCTAACATATGGCAGAGTAAAGATCATCGACACGATAAGTAAACGGTTTGTTAGGAAGTGCGCCAAAGTCCATAACCAGCGAACAAAAGCTGCTGGATAATGCAAGCTTGAAAAAACTGCTACAATTTGTCATTCATAGAATTGGCAGCCTATTAAATAACGAGGGTGTGCTAATGAAAAATATATTATACAACAAGCTCATCGAGAATTCGAGCATAAAATTAGTCAAACACTGCACCTATGCTTTCTTATGTGCTGCACTTACACGGCCTTTTGGCCTTCCAACTTTGTTATGTGGGGCAGGACCATGATCCTCATGCAACGCGGGTTCACTCTTCGTTTCAGAAAGTCTCGGTTCACCTTTCAACGTTTTCTTGAGCAAGGATCTCCTCAACTTCTCAGGTTTATTCTGCGATCCAGCAGTTCGGCTACAATCACTATCAGGAGTACCGCGGTTGGCTTGGGCTCTAAAACTTCAAAATTGTGAAGCAGCATAGACCATAAAAAGGACCCACTTGATGCTCTTCTCAATCGGCACAAATTTGTTCCATGTCTGACCGTAGTTATAGTCAAACAGAAGTTCTTCACCGAATAATATGTGACGGCTAGCATACACGCCTATCCGATGCTCGCCGTTAACAATTTTGATCTGAAAAAAAAAGATAAATACCAGAATGAAATAACAAAAAAAA